AAACACACCTGTGCAATTCACCATTGCTGTGGATAAGGTATAACACAATTCTAACACTAAATAAGTTATGCATGCACACAGCAGCCACAACTTCTATAATTTTATGTCCAATATCCATGCTGCACTGCTTCTTGCTTTTACTTGTGCACAACCTGCCCTGGGTTTAGTGCACTGTGCACACACAAATTAAGCTTTCATTGAACTGCTTCCAATCGCTATAAAGTTGTAGAGGCAAGTATACTTCCCATTCACACTATAAACTGACATGACAATCCTCAGCACTCTTCCCATATGTATATTCACAACAATTCCTATCTCCAACAGATGACACAAGATATGGATTCAAGGCCTGGCTGCTCACTTGTCACACAGCATCTTTGTCTTGCCGAGCAAGCCTACAATTAGACCTGGTCCGTAATTAACTATTTTCTAACAAACCTGTGTCTTATCTGCACCATGTTGCTTTAACCCCTGTATCACAACTCAACTTTGAATTCTATGTGTCCTCTTGCTCAGAAATGCTTCAGACTTGAGAAAGGGAGGTTCTCCCGAAAGCTTTTAATTAATAAAAATCTGTTAGTCCAATAAAAAAGGTGTTACAAGATATAAATATTTTATCTGTTTTTTTACATCTACATCACTGGACTAATACGGCTACAATCTCTACTTTAATACGGCTACAATCTCTACTTTAATACTTAAAGAGACCCTATAGTCACCAGAACTACAGCTTAATGTAGTTGTTATGGTAAATATAATAGCTCCCTTCCTTTTCATGCAAACACTGCCTTTCCTCTGAATTTACATTGCCCCTAGGGACACCTCCAAGTGGCCACTCCTCAGATGGCCACTGAAGGTGCTTCCTGACTCAGTGCTGCACAGTAGGCAGCAGTGCCGTTCAGCGTCTCCACGCTCTGCATGGGGACGCTGATTTTTTCTCATAGAGCTGCATTGATTGAATGCATCTCTATGAGGAGGTGCAGATTGGCCAAAACGGGGCGTTTGGCCATGCTGATTTTAGCCAATCCAATGCTTTCCCATGGATTGGCTAAACATTGTCAATTTTGATGTCACCAAGGGGGCGGGGCCAGCACCGTTGGACCCATGAAGAGCTGGAAATAAGGTGAGTTTTACATTTTTATAAGGGGGCAAGCCACCTAAATGGTGGGTTTAACACTATAGGGTCAGGAATACATGTTTATGTTCCTGACCCTATAGTGATCCTTTAACCAGATAAGTTATGAATTGAAAAGAAGAAACCACAATAATCAATACATAAAATATGCTTTATTATACAATGAAACTATATATATATATATATATATAAGTATAGAGAGAGAGAAAGTTAAGATAAAAATTAAATATATATCATAAACAATCAAAAATGTTTGTATATTCAAACATCAAAAATATAATGCACAATTTAAAAAATTTACATTGTGCATTGAAAAGCTGTTCCGTTTCAATATATGTTTATTTTACATATGCACAAGAGCCGTCATCTCTATAATAAATAAATATATATTTTAAGTGCACTTTAGGAATTGAAACGTTGCTCAGAGTGCTTTGTTAATGAATAATACATCTCTTAGGAATAAATGAAACAGATAAGAACCATTCGGCCCATCTAGTCTGCCCAATTTTCTAAATACTTTTAATTAGTCCCTGGCCTTATCTTATAGTTAGGAGAGCCGTATGCCTATCCCATGCATGCTTAAAGGACCACTATAGTGCCAGGAAAACATACTAGTTTTCCTGGCTCTATAGGGTCTCTAGGTCCCCCCCCACCCTCAGGGGCCCCCTCCCGCCGGGCTCTAGGGGGTGGAAGAGGTTAAATTTACCTATTTTTCCAGCGCTGGGTGGGGAACTCTCCTCCTCCTCCATATCTCCGTCATCGGCTGAATGCGCATGCATAGCAGGAGCCGCGCGCGCATTCAGCCAGTCCATAAGAAAGCATTCTCAATGCTTTCCTATGGACGCTGGCGTCTTCTCACTGTGAAAATCACAGTGAGAAGCGCGGAAGCGCCTCTAGCGGCTGTCGATGAGACAGCCACTAGAGGCTGGATTAACCCTGAAGTAAACATAACAGTTTCTCTGAAACTGCTATGTTTACAGCAGGCAGGGTTAACCCTAGATGGACCTGGCAGCCAGACCACTTCATTAAGCTGAAGTGGTCTGGGTGCCTATAGTGGTCCTTTAAACTCCTTTACTGTGTTAACCTCTACACTTCAGCTGGAAGGCTATTCCATGCATCCACTACCCTCTCAGTAAAGTAATACTTCCTGATATTATTTTTAAACCTTTGTCCCTCTAATTTAAGACTATGTCCTCTTGTTGTGGTAGTTTTTCTTCTTTTAAATATAGTCTCCTCCTTTACTGTGTTGATTTATAATTCTTTCAAAAAGGATATGTACATGTGGAGGCAGTGGCGTACACTGCGACCCGGTATGTAGCCACAGGGCCAGCCTCTTCCCCTGGGGGACCCAGGAGCAGGCGGGCGCGCGAGGGAGCACTCAGTGTTTCCTCTTTAGCTCCCTCGCGCACCGCACTGATACCGGAGCCGGAAGATGACGTCATCTTCCGGCGCTGGCATCCTTAAGCGGCGCGCGAGGGAGCTGAAGAGGAAGCACTGAGTGCTCCCTTGCGCGCCCGCCTGCCCGACCGACCGGCCACCTGCCCAGGAGACCAGCAGCACCACTGGACCCCAGGGAATCCCCCCAGCACTCCAAAAGGTAAGGAGGCTGGGGGATTACATTTAAAAAACAAAAATCATGTGTGAGTGTTAGTGAGTGTTAGTGTGTGTGAGTGTGAGTGTTAGTGTGTGTGTTAGTGTGTGTCTGCTAGTGAGTGTTAGTGTGTTAGTGTGTGTGTCTGCTAGTGAGTGTCAGTGAGTGTGTTACTGTGTGTGTGTGTTAGTGAGTCTGTTTGATGTCTGTTAGTGAGTGTGTGTTTGTCAGTGAGAGTGTATGTTTTGTAAGTGAGTGTGCATGTATGTCTGTCGCTGACTGTGTCTCTGTCAGTAAATGTGTGTGTCTGTTAGCTAGTGTGTATGCGTCTGTAAGTGAAGTGTGTGTGTGTGTCTTCAGCACTTAGCTTTCTCCAGCGCCGGACTCCTTTGGCGCTGAGGATCCCTCAGCCTCTCAGCTCCGAATGCGACCGCGCACGCATTCAAACCGCCTATAGGAAAGCATTACTCAATGCTTTCCTATGGACATTCAGTGTGCTCCTCTAGCGGCTGTCAGTGAGACAGCCACTAGAGGCTGGATTAACCCTCAGTGAAACATAGCAGTTTCTCTGAAACTGCTATGTTTTCAGCTGCAGGGTTAAAACTAGAGGGACCTGACACCCAGACAACTTCATTGAGCTGATGTGATCTGGGTGTCTGTAGTGGTCCTTTAAAGGACCACTATAGTGCCAGGAAAACATACTCGTTTTCCTGGCACTATAGTGCCCTGAGGGTGCTCCCACCCTCAGGGACCCCCTCCCGCCCGGCTCTGGAAAGGGGTAAAACTTACCTTTTTCCACCGCTGGGCGGAGAGCTCTCGTCCTCCGATCCTCCTCTTCTCCTCCCCGTCGGCTGTATGCGCACGCGCGGCAAGAGCTGCATCAATTTTCGCACCGGGGCCCCATGGGTCATGTGTACGCCACTGTGTGGAGGCATTTTCACACAACTTATTTAAATCCTTGTGGAAAACATGAGTATGTAAAAAAAAATTCAAGATGCAACCATAAAATTGAATACAAAGATTTCTTCGGGTGTTTGTTTTTCCTACAGTAAATGACTACGTAAACATATATAAAAAAAATAAAATAGGTAGGTACTAACTAGTTTCACATTTAAAAACACATTGATAATGGTTTAACACTTATATGATTTCATGAAAAATTTATTTTCAAGACCTGTAGTATACTATAAAATGTGTCTAATACAAATAATGCATATGTATTCAGTTTCTAGGCATATGGATAATGGTCTGTCCAGCAATGAAGTTTTTCTAAAAAAAAAAAAAAAAAACAACCCCAAGTATAGTGTGCAGTTATATATAATAAATTTCTATTTCAAATGATATACTGTCATGTTGATAGCAGGACGTATGAATGAAGATGTATGAATGTTAGATTTAAACATCAGGAGGTACATCAAGGCAAGGACACTGTAGCCTAGAACACTATTACCATTTCTAATCCAAAATATAATGATCATGTTTACAATATACAGCGCTGCAGATTATGTTAGCGCTTAAATATATTACAAATACATCTGCAAGCAGCAAAATAAAGGTGGCCAAACACAAAAGCCTGTAGAGAGCACATTTGCAGATAGAGACTTAAAAAGATATTTTTTACAATTTTGAAAATTAGGTCATTTAATTCAATAAGGCCAACAGACCTCATGACATATGATGCTGGGATAAATACCAAGCATGTTTGATTTTGTGGTTTATATAGTTAAAATAGTTATTTTAAACATTCTTGATGCCAATTACAAAGTGGCTGACAAAGCACATGACTAACTAGTACTACTACCCAGTAGAGAGGATAACAAGCCTAAAAGTATGGATGCAGCACACGCATAGAATAATATTGGATATGATAAAGGACATTCAAAGATTTACATTTTAAATTATATAGTGGGGACTTTTGGTCATTCATTAATCATAAAAACCAGCATGGCTGGCAGACCATATGATATCACGATGCAAATTGCAGAGCACACCATAACTTATCACCACATTGTTGTGAAGGTTTTTACAAATGCACTGTAATATCGGTTATGATTTCAATACAGCTGCCAGCCAAACCACATAACTAATTGACCTTGACATGAGCACAGTCGCCTTGTCGGCCTCTTCTTAAGAACCCCCACCAAATACTCCAATCCCCAATAAAGCACAGACACCATGGTTTTGGCAAAATTATATCACAGCTTTATTTGTAATTAACATAAATTTAAAGGTCATTGTCAACAGCAGGCCAACGTTGGCCTGCACAATTAACATCCAGCATTTACAATTAACCCCTTGACAATGACCCACCCCCACATAACATAACACCCAAACATTGAACATTTTATTTAACATGAACATGACCATTGCCACCAAAGGGCACCATCCATTGCCACCAAAGGGCACCATCCATTGCCACCAAAGGGCACCACAAGTGTAGGGGCATACCGAGACACCCTATACACACCCCGGTTCGGAGCTACCTACGAGCTCGAACCTACCAAACCAGTCCAAAGGCCTACCTATTAGCCCTGAACTCCAAACCTTTTCCCCATCTCACTCTTTTCTCCCCCCAACTTTACTCTCCATCCCCCGCCACAGCTCAGAGCTCGAGCTCCTGAGCGACACCCCCCCTAGGGAAAAAAGCGCTCTCTGGAGGCCCTCCTGGAAACCCAGCAACAAAAAGTCCAAGCCCACATCGGACAGATGGACCCCATCACTCCTATAATAACCTGGGAGCATGTCTTCCAACTCCCTGTGCCTGATCACAACCCCCCCTGACCGCCTTATGTATGCTGCCATCACCTTGTTAACCTTACCCTTAATTTTCGCCACTGCGGAGGGATTCCGCGTGTGCCGCCAGTACAACCTTGGAACCATTTTCGACCACACTTCCATAAACCCTGGCACTAACTCCCTTAACCTGTCCACGTCCCTCTTCATAAACTCGAGCAGGACCTTTTGAGGTAACGACCCCACATCATTGCCCCCTGCATGAAGCACCACTATGTCTTGAACCTGTCCCAAAATAATTTTGTGAAACATTTCCTCACATATAACATTCCAACCCCAGCCCCGGTAACCAAACCACCGAAACTACACCACAGAACTTGGAAAGCCCAGCTGTAGACCGTGACGTCAAACTGCAGCTCTCCGTTGCGCCCAGTGTACGTATGAGTGGCCGACCACCCATGCCATCCAACCTGTAAAACATAAAGCAAACTTAGACAACCACAAAACAACCACCAACATTCCCCCTTTTCCATCCTCCAACTTAAACCAACTTGTCTGGCCTAATGTAAGACCTGAACCTCAGGGACTCCCACCTGCCAATCTTTTTCACCCGTTCGTCACCTAAACCTAGTCTCGCTGCTTCAGTAGCCGCACCAGTCCTGAAAGAATGTGTCCCGAATTGGCCCGGGTCCACACCCAACCTTGCCAACGCCTTCTGAAAAACCTCGAGGAACTGGAACTTCGATAGCGAAGAGCCGTCCTCATGCTTGAAATATGAACCCCCGGCCATTGCCCGCACCTCCCGGAAGGCCGTTGCGCACTTAACCGGGCAAGTTCTCCCACCCGGGAGCTCCCACAACGTAACCAACGTTCCTTTCCCCATTACATCCGTTTTGGACCGCCTCACCCTTGGCGATTGCTGCTAACTAGCTTGATGACCCGATATGCCCCAAAAAAGGCAAAACTAAAAACCACGGAAAACAACGTCACTTTGTATCCTGAAAAACACACCGCGGGCAGCACTCGGACCACCCGCTGCAGCAATTCGAATGACACCGGCCTCCTAGTATCCACTGACACTTTACCCCTCCTGAAACCTTTCAGTGCCTGTCTAACCAGAAATTTTTTGGTAGCATCCTCCCACCCGTTAAATTTGAACAAGAACGCTAGCGCTGCCAGCTTACGCCCCATCACCGCTGCCGAAACCCCTGTGGTAACTGACCTACACAAGAGCCACAGCAGCGCATCCAACCGCGCCTCCTCTGAGAGCTGACCCCCTGTCTGCTGCACCAGTTCGTCCCATTCCCCCCACACCTTACTGTATGCCACCCAGGTACCGGGTGCCAGAGAATCCCTGATCAGTCCGCCAAGCATGATGTCCCGAGCCGCCACATATCGTCCGGGCAAGACATCCCTTCCTCCCGTGCGCCAGGTGCCACCTGCCGAAATCTCTCCCACTGTGAACGAGACAACGCATCAGCAATGACATTCGACAGTCCCGGCACATGGCGCGCCCGAAACACAATGTTAAACCTCATACAGAACAAGACAAAACACTGAAGAAGCCGCACCACCGGGATAGATGACGCTGATAGCCCGTTCACTGCATCTACCACTGCCATATTGTCCAAAAAGAATACCACCTTCTTATCCCTCAACTGTGGACCCCATAGTGACAGCGCCACTACCAACGGGAACAATTCCAGGAACGCTAGGTTGCGTATCATCGGGCTGGCCTTCCAGGCCCCTGGCCAAGTACCCGCGCACCATTGACCCGAAAAGTAAGCCCCAAACCCGACACTCCCTGATGCGTCCGTAAACAGCTCCAACTCCTGAGAAGACGCCGGCGGCTCCCGAAAGAACACTTTCCCGTTAAAATCCCGCAAGAATTCCCCCCAGATGTCCAACTCAGCCTTCATGGCCCCTGATACTCGAATAAGGTGGTGCGGGAAAACCACCCCCGCCGTTGCCCTGGCTAGGAACCTGTTAAAAACCCATCCGACCGGGATCACCCGACAGGCAAAGTTTAGCCGACCGAGCAGAGACTGAAGTGCCCGGTGCGTAACCTTCTTAGCTCCCCGCACCTCCGCCACCGCCAGCCGGAGTGCCAATAACTTGTCCTGTGGCAGCCTGCACTCCCCCTTAACCGAGTCAATCTCCAAGCCCAAGAAACTCAGGCAGGTCGTAGGCCCCACCGTTTTGTCACTTGCCAAGTGGACTCCAATCACGTGCGCCACCCATTCCAGTGTCCTCAATCCCCTGCGACATTCCTCCGATCCAGGAGGCCCTACACATAGGAATTCATCCAGATAATGGACTACCATCCTAGTGCCCGCTTCCAGCTTTACCACCCATTCCAGGAATGTGCTAAATTTTTCAAAGTATGCCCACGATATAGAGCACTCCATGGGCAAACAAAGATCTACGTAATATTCCCCCTCGAAGTGACAACCCAGCAAGTGATGGCACTTCGGGTGAATCGGCAAAAGGCGGAAAGCCGACCTCCACGTCCGCCTTCTCCAACAACGCCCCCCGGCCTGCTCGCTGCACCAGGTTCACCGCCTGGTCGAAAGAAGCGTACGAAACCGAAGAAAGGGCCCTGTCTATGTCGTCATTAATTGACGACCCCTTGGGGTAGGACAGATGGTGAATCAGGCGGTACTTGCCGGGCTCCTTCTTGGGTACCACCCCAAGTGGTGATACTCTCAAGTTGGATAACGGGGGCTCCCTAAACGGCCCCGCCACCCTGCCCAGCTGAACCTCCTTACGCAACTTCTCCCTAACTACCCCCGGAAATTCAGGTTGCGAAGACTATGAGCCACCACTCGCTCCCGAAACGGGATAACGAACCCATTGGTGAACCCCTCCTCCAGCAACGCTGCATCTTCCCTGTTAGCGCAGTGGCTTAGCCACGACCGCATTGTGCCGACCTTCACTGGTGTGGCCCCCAGAGGCAGGGGACCCTGCCGAACCTCCAGGCACCCCTGCTGCGGAGGCTAACTTCCCTTTTTTGAAACACCTGTGAAGTCCGTGGGTGCATCCACACCCGGAGCACTCATGCTTGAATCGACAAGTGGCCCCCCACTTGCACTGTCCCTCATTATACAGCCAGCAGTAGCTCCGTTTTTGGTTGGCCGAAACGGCGGTAGACGCGCCCGTGCCGGCCCCTGTCTGAAAGGGGGACGCCTTCTGCGCCATCATGAATTTTATCCAGAGGGGTAGGTCCATCTGGTCCCACCGCATCCCCGGATTAGCAGCCAGGCGCTGCCAAAACTACTCGTCATACCGCCACCAGGCCAGACCCCCGTATGTCCGATAAGCCTCCCAAATACCATCCAGGTAACAGAAGAGCTGTGAACAGCGCTCTACCGCCTTTTCTGCCCATCACGCTGACCAAGATGCAAAATGCCCTCAGCCAGTTCCCATACATCTTAGGTATCTTCCTATACCTCCACTTCTTTTCCTCCTCCTCCTTTTTGGCATCCTTTTTATCCTCCTCCTTGAGGTCAATGTAGTCCTCAAGGGGGAGAAGCGAAAAGATTTCCACGAATTCCCCTTTCCATATCCTCTCCTTAACCTCCATTTTGAGATGACAGCCCAGTGAGCCTGCGAAAGAAACATGAACGTTCTGCCGCGCGGCCTCCGGGACGCCCCCCAATAAGCTCTCCCTCTCACTCGCCAATCCGGGCGCCTCTACTGTGGGGGTCGCACCTCCATCCCCAACTGTGCTGCCTCCGGCCCCAGAAACCCTCACCGGACTAGCCCCTGCGACCTCTCCCACCCGAGCCCAAACCTGACTGCACTCACTGTCCTTCCTTCTATCTACACCCCAGGAATCAATGAACTGCCTAATGTCATCTAGCAGCTCCCCCGACTGTTGTAACGACCATGTCTCACCTTCCGCACCCCTTGCCGCTGAAGGCCGTGGGGTTGCTGACCGACCGCGGATCTCCTGCCCCAAGCGTCCCATTGCTCCGGGCCGTGCTCCTGATACGCTGGGTCTCACCCGATCCGCGGGGGACCTGGAAGCAGGGCCGGTGCGAGGATTTTTGCCGCCCTAGGCAAAAATTATTTTGACGCCCCCCCCCCATATGTCCTGCCCACCATGTGACATCACAATGCCCCGCCCATATGCTCTGCCATATGGGCCAACGCCAGTCTTCACAAAGTGTCTTTTATCTGAAAAGACAGTGTGTTTACATTAAAAAGCCTATAGGCACAGGCTATAGACACCAGAACCACTACAATATGCTGTAGTGCTTCTGGTGACTATAGTATCCATTTAAGGTAAATTAGAGATTAGTACCAATAATAATATATTGGATTGCCTACTTACCACCAGATGAGGACAAGAGGCTGATGATGGGCTCTGTCTGGCTCCACAGGTCTGGTGTAGAAGAGTCTCTCGAGACTGTTTTTAACAGTGCTCACAACAATTAACGAACAGGAAGCAGCTCCATTTTTTAGGGCCCCTTACACAGCTCAAGGTCTGGGCCCCCAGGGCTTGACCGTGAGTATGCCTACAATTCCCACCCATAAATCCACCTACATTGCCCACCCGTGAGTTCTCTCACAGGAAGTGGAGTGTATGTGTGTAGGGGATGTTTTATGTGTTATTGTAGAGGATGCAATGTGTGTGTGTTCTTATAGAATGTAGTGTATAGGGATACCAATTTCTGTAAGGGATGTAGTGTGTTTATAGGGGATGCAGTGTGTGTAAGGAATGCATTGTATGTTTCTGGGTATGTGTGTGTGTAAGGAGTGCAAGGTGTGTTTCTGTATATTTAATTGAATGCAGTGTGTGTCTGTAAGGGGTGCATTGATTGTGTAAGAGATGCATTTTGTGTGTAAGAGTATGAGTTTGTGTGAACGTAAGGGATGCATTGTGTGTTTCGGGTGTTTCTGTGTGTGAGTAGGAATGCATTGTATGTTTCTGTGTGTGTGGGGGGGGTGGGTGCGTGTAGTGTAAAAGAGAGGGTTTGTGGGGTAGGATAGGGACTGAGAGGGGAGCAGCTCTTTATTTTTTTTAATTTTTTGCATAGTGCTCACCCTCCTGTCAATTATTGATTTCCCCTTCCCTCCTGTCCCTTAGTGCTCTCCCTTGGCCCCCTGTAGTCCCCCCCTTGGTGCTCTTCTCACTCCCCCCTCTCCCCCTTAGTAGTCCTCCATCCCTCCCCTTAGTGGTCCTGCCTCTCCCAAACCCCTTAGTAGACATTCCCCTCACTCCCCCCACCCCCTTAGTGGTAATCTCCCCCCCCCCTCAGTGGTC